CCAAAACCCCAAAACCCCAAAACCCCAAAACCCCAAAACCCCAAAACCCCAAGTGTAGTCATTAATGACATAATGACATGACGTGTACAATTTAGTAATTAATATTGATCATATATTCACAATACCCTAATGATGATATCATAGTTTAGAGTTAACTCAATTAAATAAATAATAATTAATAACCTAAGATATCAGATGGAAAACACTAAGCCAGGTCATATCTACTTCGCATCGGAGTCAGTTGGAGAAGGTCATCCAGATAAACTATGCGACCAAATCTCAGACGCAGTCCTTGATGAGTGCCTTAGAATCGACCTCCACTGTAAAGTCGGTCTTGAAGCAGCAACCAAAACCAAACTTGTAACAAAATTTAGTTTTAATGATGTGTTAGGTTTGTCTTCTTGGAGAAACATTAGTCAATGGAGAAAGAGTAAACTATGAGCAAATCGCTAGAGAGGTTTGCAAACAAGTTGGCTATGATGACGAGAGCAAGGGTCTCGACTACAAGTCAATGAGTGTCCTCGTTAATGTTGAGAGATAAAGCAGTGAGATCGCAAATGCTGTACATACTGAAAAAGACATGGATGATTTTGGAGCAGGAGATCAAGGTCTTATGTTCGGGTATGCCACTGATGAATGGGATAAGGAAACTCTTCACCCATACTCTCACTACCTTGCTAACCTTCTCTGTGAGGAGTTGGCCAAGGCTAGACACAGCGGCCAAATCAAATGGCTTAGACCAGATTGCAAATCATAAGTTATTGTTGAGTATGAGAACAACAATGGAAACATCAAGCCAGTCTCTATCTATAACATCCTCATCTCCACTCAACATGATCCAGATGTCACCAATGAAGAGATTGCCAGAGTTCTCACCGAGCAAATTATCAAGAAGGTTTGCCCAGCTGAGATGCTCACCAACACCAAGATCGTCATTAATCCTTCAGGCTCTTTCGTTATGGGAGGTCCACAAGCCGATTCAGGACTTACAGGTAGAAAGATTATTGTAGATACTTATGGTGGTTGGGCTCCACACGGAGGTGGTGCTTTCTCAGGAAAGGACCCCACCAAGGTCGATAGATCAGCTTCATACTATGCTAGATATGTTGCAAAATCCGTAGTTGCTGCTGGTCTCGCCCACAGATGCCTCGTTCAAGTATCTTACGCTATTGGATTAGCTGATCCCCTTTCAATCCACGTTGAATCATATAACACCGTCAGGGAAGGACTCAATGATGATGACCTTATCAGAATTGTTAAGAAGAATTTCAGCTTCAGACCTGGTAATATTATCAAGGAGCTCAACCTTCTCAGACCAATTTACTAGAAGACTGCTAAGTACGGACATTTTGGAAGAAATGATCCAGACTTCACATGGGAAAAGCCCAAGACTCTTATCTTAGAGTGATCCTGAATTAATATTTTATTTTACCATTCAAGTTTAATCAGCATATTGGTCTATTGGGGTTT